AACCATTTTATAATTTTAAGTTTCAAAATTCCCTTTTCATGTGCATTTTCGCCTTTTTTGGCCGTCTGGGGGTTGGATTTTGCATCGAGTCTTCTCGGGAGCCGCGCACCATTCCCGCGTGCTTGAAAACACTAATTAAACTTGCGTGCACATTCGTTTCAACCTAGAAATGCATTTAAGGCCAAATGCATACTTGGTGCAAAGTTGCATTTTCTGAGTTTTTGACTCTTTACTGATCTAGGCGCATTTTGGGCATTTCACATTGTTTTTTAAAATTTTCTTTTGCGCTGTAGGGTAAAAAACTTGATTTCAGGAGGGGTTTCTTTTTCGTATTTTTTTAGAAAATGTCGCTAAGGGCCCCGATTTTGCTCTCTGTTCTGGCATATTTCAGAAATACCCCTGTAACAGCTTTTTAACCCTCTTGACCCTCTTCTGATCTAGGGGCATTTTGGGCATTTTACATTATATTTTTTTCGTTTTCTTTTACGTTATCGGGTAGAAAACTCGATTTTAGGGGGGGTTTCTTCTTCATGTTTTTCCAAAAAAAATCGTTTCGGCCTCCATTTTAAGCCTCAGTTCTAGAAAATCTACTTTGGACCCTTGCTGTTAGAATGTGCATGCCCTTGGGCGCCTATGGGGCGCCGGTGGGACGCCATGAGGCTGCCATGGCCTTCATTGGGCCACCGCGACGTCTCAACTTCAAAGCCCCGTTTCTCCCTCGTTCGGACTCCAAATTGAGTGAACTTTTTTTTGAACTTGACTAATTTTTCGTCATTTATCTAACGGTGTGCTTAGTTGCACCTAGATATTCCTGCATAATTACCAGTTTACCCTTTTAGCCTTAAGTGCTCATTCTCCTTCGTCTTGCCATTTCTCTTTTGTCCAGACTCCGAATCATGCGATTCTTGAGTCCATCTTGATTAGTTTTTCATTTTCTTTCTAGCAGTGTGCTCGGTGGCACCCTAATCCATTTTTTAGAAATTACTATTTTGCCCCTGGGGACTTAATTGTTATTTTTCTGATCTTTTGCTTTCGCGTCAGTCCTCATTGAGTTCCACGACTTCATGGAAAGTCATCAAAGTGTCTTAGAGGTATGTTGTGCCTTGGGAGACCATTGTCTTGTTTCTTGCTTCCGCATTTGGATCCGTTATCGGATCAACCTTCGGTTCATCACAGGACGCACTAGCTTGAAAAACCAGGGTCGTCACAGGTTCACAACTACATTGGATGAAATCTACACTCTCAGACCTTGGAATTTAGTTTTCAGGACCTCCCAAGCTTTTCTGTGACAACCAAAGTGTTATTGCTATTAGTAAAAATCCCACACTGCATTGGAAAAGCAAACACATTAACATCAGGTATCACTTTCTTAGAGATAAAGTTCAAAAAGGCCTTATTGATATTACTTACTTGCCCACTGAGGATCAACTTACAGATATCATGACCAAACCTCTTCTTCCTCAGAGATTTTCAACCCTTAGAGATTTTTTCAGGGTTGTTCCTCCTCCCTCCTGAACTTATATTGTTGGTCCTACTCACCTTTTGACCTTCAATGTCAAAAAGGGGGAGAAATGGACTAAAATAAAGATAGTTGCTAACTATTCCTTTTGCTTTTGGGTTGTTTTATTTACTGAATCTTTGTAGTTCTCATTCTCAAGACCTTATTTCAAGTTAAACTGGTTTTTTCATTCAAGGCAAAAGGGGGAGATTGTTGGTCCTAAGTTACCTTAAGGAATGTTTGCCTACTTAATGTCAAAAAGTGTAGTTTCAGTGGCTTCAAGTATGAACTCTATCTGCATTGTGCTTAGAAATAAGGTCCAGGGGTAATATTGTTATTTACTACTATGTAACACAATTTATTCACTGGTCTGTAATAGTGCATTACAACGTATTAGCCTGTGTTGATTGAAATCACTGTGACAGTGGAGGTTCAGCACTTTAAATTCAGCTATAGGTACTCACAGGGGTACTATGGTCTTTTCTCAATTGTATTCCAGTTATATACATTTGCTTTGATAGCTGCATTGCATTGAATAGCCTTGATTGTACCTACATTGTCAATTATAAAGTCTCAAGACTATATGTTAGCTGAGAAAGGTTTAATTTGTTACAAGGGTATTTTGGTCCTTTCTATTTGTATTCAAGCGTGTGACACGTCTCAGTGGTCCTAGAGAGATAGTATATGCAAGAATATTGCATTTCTTAGAGGCTAAGTTTGGAGAAAAATGGAATTTACAATCTTGTATTATGTGTGTGAATTCTGGTGTGCAAGGTGACAAAATAGCTGAGGTGGCTTGCTGTGATTGGTTCTCTCTCCTGAAAATATCTGAAATATGCTCTATCAGTCATTGACTAAAGGTGACAGGTGTATATCCTTGGTGTGTGAGGCCTTGTGTATTCAGTGACTCTATAAATATACTGTTATAGTGGCTTTTAAGGTTTCAAGCCTAATGAAAAATATGAAAAGTGAGCTGCAGCTAGTATTGTCTCGAGAGCCTTGAATGAACAAGTTTTTCTGAGTGTATTGATGATGATTCATGCTAGAAAAACTCACTGGATCAAGCCTTGTAAGTGTATTTGCTGAGGAGATGTTGCTGTTGTTAGTTTTACTGGTGCAAAGGCTAGTCTGAGTAGTGATTTTGTGTTTCCAGCTGCTGTGGTCTATTCTGAGGGTTGACACAGGTATAATTCAACTAATTACACTTGCTCAGTACTGCGTTTATGTTGAAAACATGCTGAAAATGAATTTGAGCTGTGAGATCACTTGTTAAGCTTATTTTCTGGTTTAATCTTGGATTCAAGTACTGATTGATCATACTTAGCTATTTCATGAGTTATTAAACTGCTAGCAAGTATATTTTGATGAATCAAGATTGTTGAAGTTGGTCTTGTGACAGAAAAATGGTATGCTTTGATTTTGAGTGTTCAAACCCTAAGCCTAAAGCTGTATTATGCTAATACAAAGACTGTGACTGAAATTTGATATATACTCATGCTATGTTTGATTGTTTTAAGCTATGAACATGAGTACTACAGTGAAAGAAGACTGTGAAGGTGCTGGTGAATTAATCTCGAGAGGAAATTCGCATTTTACCCCTTAAACCCTAATTGCAGCAGATTGTGGTTTTGAGGCAATAACTTGGAGTTCTGTGTTGTCCAGCTTATTCTAATTGTTGGAAAGACTTGTTTATACTTATTTACATCTGTAATGGTGTGTGTGGTGAGCTTTGAGAGCTGTTTGGGCCCAAGCAAGGTTGCTTAGGACAGGGGGAATGCCTGTGAGCACTGTGGTGTACTAATGTGTATAGTGGTTGTAAAAACTAGTGTCTATTCTTATACTTGGGTGTGTGCAAAGTGTGAGACAGCTGAGTGTGTAACAAGATACATACAGCTAGTAGTGAATTGTATATTCGCTGAGGCCAAGAACCAAGGTTTTCCCTAGTTGAGAGGGGTTTCCTTGTAAACCTTGTTTGCACTTATCCTTAGTTACTTGTTTTCATTAATGTAAGGATTTAAAATTAAAATTAAACATCCCCCCCCCCCCCCCCCGTTCAACAAATTTTTTGTGTGAAAATTAACTATATGAGTAACTCTAATTCATCCCAATTTTTAACATGAAATCAAAGCCCGAATTGCAAGCCTGAATTTAAAAGTAAAAAGATGGATTGAGCTCAGGTTGATTAATTAGAGTTGAAGATAGGGTTGGGTTGAGTTTGGGTTTAGCATTTTTATATGGTGGGTTGGGCTCAAGTAATACCTCAAACTCGTTCGAGTTGCAGCCCTACCTCGAATACCCCAAGTTAATCCCAAAAAAAAAAAAAAAACTTTATCCATTGAAATTATGGTAGTTTGTGGATGAAAACTGATTTTGGCACTGTGATTTAAATATGCCTCGTCCTCTTAACAATTATGCAATTATGTGCTATTTTTTTTTTTGAGAAAAGTAGTCGAAGTGTGGAGTTGGCTTGGGGACTCCAAGTTGCCTATATAAATAAGGATAATGATTTTTGCACCGAATAGCATTAAATTGCTAGACTTACTATTTTAATTGGTCAATTATACAACAAATAAGGAAGTAGAACTCTCAGCCAATTAAAAATTATTCGGTTAGGCAATTCACTACAAGTGTTCAGTGTGAGTACCACTCCTCTATAAATAAACCACAGTTGCACTAAATAAATGCTAAGTTAATAAAAATATTTATTTGAGCACCAAACAGTGTCCCCATGGGAGCAATGTGGTTGTGTTCCTGTCATTCTCACAATTCTCCTTCTATGTAGTAACAACCAGCTATCCGACTCCTCCTCCGGAATCTTACTAGTGTGGATATCCAATTTTGATATAAGCAAAGAAAATTATAATATTCCCAAGAGAAAAATATTTCGAAAGCAAGGAGAATGCTCGCTACTACTCACCATTGGCTTGAGGTACATTGTCGGTATTTACCCAAATTAGTTTCAGTGGTCCTCAACCATGAAATAGGCTAAGAATCTGATTCAATTAAATATTGGACGCCTTAGAGCCAACTGAGGTGGTGGCTGAACTGACTTGACGAGGGCCGAACTCCTCACCATTCACTAGCCGAATTCTGATCCTACCATATGATCCAGACAAAGATTATACACGTACCGAACCAAAGAAATCATAATTTGGTCCTACGATATGATCAAGACAAAGATTATACACGTACCGAACCAAAGAATCATCAGAGAAATCTCATAAATTAAGCCACCATAACTCCGATATCCATTGTCAAAAACTGGGTAGAGAAATGACCTGATGATCTTAATTTATGGTTCTACTTGCAGTGTCTCAATTGCTTAACTAGTAACATAATTTTAACTTGCTGGTTGAAAAAATGCTTACAATTCCACAATCTCATTTTGAAATACAAGCAGCACAATACATTGAGAAGTTACCACCCAAATGACGTCCTACACTTTCCACGTACAGAATCTGAATTCCAGTCATTATCATATTGACAAATTACACGAAGAAAGAACAGAAAAGAAATGCATAACATATAGTAACAATATCGTTCTCCACCTCATAATCATTTACATGCAATATCAGCTTTAACTCTAATTTTCTCAATAAAAAGAAGACGACAATGATCTCCTAGAAAAATTTAGTTCTCTATCTGAATATTATATGAAGAAACATCTGAACTCCCAATTTTTTTTTAATGTTCTCCGTAAATCCAACTTCCATTCAATAAATTGTAAATCGAACCTACAATGAAATCTTACAGAAAAAATTGTCCACTGTTTCTACCCAAAAACCAAAAAGGAAAAAAATAAATAAACACAACTCTGTTCTTAGACCAGCTTTACAACGTTTCAACCCCTCCTCTCATCACGTAAACATTATTAATCCCATGTGTAGGATAAAAATAAAAATGGAGAAAGCTAAACTTGATTAAAAAATTAATGATATGCCAAAATTTTGGTGGGGTAAAAAAAATTATAGAAGAGGATATTCACTAGAACTTGGTGCTGAAAAACCCATTGGATCCTGGAACTGAAATTGGACGAATAATGGGGTAGGGAGGTTGCGTAAGAGGTATATGGCTTGGCACCGCAAGCGGCTGCTGTCCACTCGCTATAAAAGTGGGAGTCACACACACCTGCAATGCTTGAGCTGCAGCACTTCCTGCACAAAAGTTGAATTGCTTCCGTAACACATTCCAGCAACTAAATTTGAAACAAGTTCCTTCAAAAATAAAATGACTTGACTTATTGTGTTTGGTTATAAAATGTTTGTTCCAAGTAACTACAGATTTACATATGATTCATAAAGTCCTTTTGTCCAAAAATGTTTATTTGAGACTGCAAATTTCTTTCATTGTCCATAATTCAGAACTTCATGCTAAACTGAAACTGCAAAAAATTAAAATGCAAAAATTTAACCATGAACTTCATTACAAGTGTTCCGTAGGTAAATGTCTACACTAATCTAAGAAAGAATGTGTGACCTAATGAAACATCTACATTGAAATTATTAACCATCGATATCAATGAATCCATCCAAAAAAAAAACCTAGAATTGGTCCTCGTTAATTAGAGGTATTGGGAGGGCTGGACACTTGGACTAGATATAGACATAACCGTCAAAATTAAAAACACAATGTACACGAGGCTCCAGCCACAGTGGGGTCTGGGCATGGTAAGATGTCCGCAGCCTTACCCTCCACATGCGGAGAGGATATTTTCCATTTTGAAGCCGCGACCGCCAAGTTGCAATAGGGCAACCTTACCGTTGCATCAGGGGCCACCCTCAATGTGGTTGCCTCCATGGAAATCCTTATTTGCATTCAATAAAAAAAATAATTGTTTCATTAACTTCCCAAGGGATGTAACCATAGTCGAGTCTTAGTAGCCTGGTGACCAAGCTAAATAGTGGATACTTTGTTTATTTGCTTTTACATTTCACATGAAACCATTTGATTTAGTTTATCATGTTCTTTTTCCCTTCATCATGCCAGAAGATGCATGATAAGTATATTAAACAAGGTGCAGTTCACGTTAACCTATTGTATTTCTTTCTTCTTCCTCTTCCTCGTTTTATTTTTTTATTTTTATTTTTTTCTTTTTAATTTTTTTTAAAGACTGTTCAATATTAGCATTAGGATAAAATATATCATGAGAGCAATCTCACTTGCAAGGGCGTAGCCAAAGTAGGCTATGTCCCCCCTGGCACGGCCCCCACCCACTACTCTCATTTTTCTTTCCTTTACTTCTTCTGTTTTTTTTTTTTTTTTCCCTCCACTTATTTTCTTTTTGCACTTATGTATGATTTATGTAGTATGTACTACAACCTTTTTTTTCTCTTCTTCGAGAAAAATTGTAATTATATTCAATGGAAATATTACCAATATTTTGGTTCTTATATTTGTGAAGTATTTTTCTTTCTTATACTACTCCTTGATTAGCATATTATTTTGCACTGATTTTTTTTTTCTTGTTTGCCTTTTGATTTGAACAATCTATATTTGTCATGTTAGTTGGCTTTTTTTTTTTAGTTATCAAGTGTCCCCTCACCCTCACCCTCACCCTCACCCTCACCCTCAGCCCCAGCCCCAGCCCCACGTGCGGAAATGAAAACCTGGCTACGCCCCTGCTGACTTGAGCTCCATCTTTCAGCCATTAGATGAAGAACCTCACAGTAACGGAGCGCTCTTCTATGATTGCATTGCTCCATTATCACATAGATTGTGGTTACTTGCTAAAATGGAAGTTCTTGTTAGGCTATCAATAACAAACCATGACCAGATTCCTGATCACATTAGCAATAATAAAAACATTCTGCAACTTTTTCACACTTTAACTACTCACCATGATTTATTGTGTTTAAGCCTTGGTGCTTAGGAAGATGGACCTGATGTGGAGTCAGCAGAGGACGAGTAGACACTTGAGAGAGAGCTGCCGCACCCTGAGTCACATCCTTCAAAATAGAAGAGGTAAAAGAAGACAACTAAGCAATCAAAAATTTCATGTAACATACATATAGATTATATAAGAACCTTCTACCAACTAATTGGGGATGTAACATATATATATATATAAACACTAAACAGGCAAGAAAGAAAGAAAGAAAGAAAGAAAAAGAAAAGAAAATTGGAAGTGAAAATAAAAACATAAAGAAGAGAGGACTGCACAAAAGTATGAATTACAGAAACAGGCTCAAGCAAATTTATTTATAAAAAAATATATATATTCGAGCAAATAAAAATTTTGATAAGCTTTAACAGGCAGATTTTTCCTTCTAAATATCAAGGCATGAGGAGTGAGACCGACCTAATGCATATGGCCTCAAGAATTTCTTCTACTAGCTGCGAGTAGTTATAAGAAGCCACTGTTTACACATAGGCTATCATTTGAAAGTGCATTTCATCCCCTAATAGACTGCTTTATATAACAGCATTCCTCAGCGTTTTTTTGCAGAAAGAAAAAAGAACTCAAACTTCAACATTAAATTCAGTTCAACTGAGGCAGGACAGTAGTTCTTCATTCAGCCTATTTTTTATTGGGCCTGCCATGTTCATAGCTTTCTAACTGGCAATCAGATCATCATGGAGCGCACTGTAAAAAGTAGCAGCACAGCGCAACGGAAGTTACAACTAACAACCATTAAGCTAAGTGGAGTTTTCCAGTCAAAAATACGAATGAAACTATTAAGCTAAAAACAACTTAAACCATCTTCTTTGGAAAAGAAAACAGATTAACGGTAATAGTAAGATTGTCTGTTAAAATTAAAACCTGATCCCCAAATTTAATCATAACTAAAACCATCAATATCTCGCTTTTACTCTCCCTCATACATATAGGATAAATGGTTGCTCATATCATCAATTGCAGTGTTCATGCAATGAACATTAAAAGGGAGACCACATTTGGCTTGTTGGAAAAATATTTGAAGTCAACTAGAGCCTAGAAAAGCAGCTGAATAAAATTTAATGAAATAATCTGCTAGCTTATATTTTGGACTAGTCCAATTAAATAAAGTTTTTATTTTATTTTTTTTATAAGCAATTAAATAGTGTTTTGAATATCAAACTGGTATAATAATCTATCATGTAATCTAATCAAGTTGCAGGGATTGTAACTTACATGAGAAACTGGATGAACGTATACGAGCTGCCCACCCAGTCGTCCAACCATAACCTGATAATATCAATAAAAGAAGTAAATTAATTGTCCAAACATCTCTGTTTGTTGTTGCAAAACCTTGACTACTGCGAGAAAACTACCGCAAAGAGGCACATAGAATCCTCCGAATACTTACATTTAGAGAATTTGGATGAACATAGGCAGGCCCAGCTTGAAGAGGATGATACTGACCAGCATATCTGATTGGCTGTGTCCTGCTTCCCACATGGCCAACAATCTATACCCAGAAAAGAAAATCTAGTAAGAAACATAGCTGCATTTTGTACCTCAGAGATATAGATTATATCGGTGCTTGACAATTGGTTCTTGGCACCAATGCGGCATCTTGGTGCTATTAAATTCCAGCAAAATGTTTTTTCACGTAGTATTTGATCAAAATCGAGAGAGAGAGAGAGAGCAAAACATGTATACTGTATATTCAACACTTTTAACCTAATAAGCATGTGTAGGCTTATATATAAAGGGTACAAGTCTTGCATAATAACACAAGGGTCCTATCAACTAAATGTAATTACATAATGACCCAACATATATATATATAACTTCTAACACTCCCCCTCAAGCTGGAGAATATATATCAAATAATCCCAGCTTGAAACAGATAGTTCTTAACCGATTATGACCCAATGCTTTGGTAAACATATCAGCTAATTGATCTTCAGACTTCACAAATGGAGTAGAGATGCTCCCACGTAATATTTTTTCTCGAATGAAGTGACAATCAACTTCAATATGTTTGGTCCTCTCATGAAACACAGGATTTGATGCAATGTGAACTGCTGCTTGATTATCACAGAACAATGGAGTAGGAGCTTCAACTGTCAATCCAAGTTCTTTTAGAAAATGTTGTATCCATGTCAACTCACTAGTGGTATGGGCCATTGCCCTATACTCAGCTTCAACACTAGATCAAGCTACCACAGTTTGCTTTTAACTTCGCCATGTAACTAGATTTCCTCCTACAAATGTGCAGTAGCCTGTAATAGATCTCCTATCTAAAGGAGAATCAGCCAGTCAGCATCTGTAAAACCTTCCACCCTGAGATGACCATTTGGTTTATATAGTAACCCAAAACCTGGAGCTTGCTTGAGATATCGGAGAATCCGAAGAACAACAATCTATTGTGGCATTCTAGGAGCTCCCATGAACTGACTTACAACACTAATAACATATGAAATATCAGGTCGAGGAATAGTGAGATAAATTAATTTCCCAACAAGGCGACGAAATCTGCCCGGGTCATTAAATAGATCACCCGCATCAGCTACAAGTTTTGTATTTGAATCCATAAGAGTATCAACCGGAAGACCACCTACCATACCCGTTTCTTCTAATAAGTCCAACACATACTTTCATTGGGATAAACTTATACCCGTCTTGGATCTAGCAACTTCAATACCCAAAAAATACCTAAGTTTACCAAGTCTTTAGTGTGGAATCGATATTACAGAAACAACTTCAACTTAGCAATGCCTTCAGAATCATCAACTGTGATCACAATATCATCTACATACACCACAAGAATTATGAAGTCAGCTTTAGTGCACTGGTGAAATACCGAATGGTCAGTCTGACACCTGTGAGGACCAAACTTTAATGCTGCCTCAGAGAATTTTCCAAACCAAGCCAGTGAAAATTGTTTTAATCCATACAGGGTCTTTTTAAGGCAATAAACAGTGTGAAGATACTCCCCCTGAGCAACAAACCCAAGTGGTTGCTCCATATAAACCTCTTCTGCTAAGTCACCATGCAAAAAGGCATTTTTAACGTCTAACTGAAACAGAGGCCAATGTCTATTAGCAGCAAGAGAAATCAAAACACGAATAGAAGAAATCTTAGCAACAGGGGCAAACGTATCATCATAGTCAATACCATAAGTCTGGGTATAACCTTTGGCAACAAGACGTGCTTTTAAACGCTCAACAGACCCATCTGGAAGATACTTCACAGTATATACCCAGCGACAACCAACAGGTTTGGCACCTGGAGGTAATGGAACAAGAGTCCATGTGCCATTCTTATGCAAAGCATCCATTTCATCTTGCATGGCTTTCCTCCAGCCCGAATCGGACAAAGCATCCTGCACAGTCTTAGGAACAAATGTAGTAGACAACTTAGAGGAAAAACATGAGAATGATGGCGACAAGGAATTATAAGAGACATAATGAGCAATGGGATGTTTAGTAACACACGAGCGAGGAGCTTTATGAAGTGCAATTGGCAAGGAATCAGACACAGTGGAATTTGTGGGATTCAAAGACTCTGAAGATGATGGAGGAGGCACGACAACAAATGGCTTTGGTCTTCTTTTGTACACCTGTAACGGGGCAGGTGAAGGAGAGCTGGGTTGAAGAGAAAGTGAGGGAAGAGGAACCGCAGGAAGAGGCGACTCAGGAGTGATATCAAGAAGTGAATCATTATCTGAAAAATATGGGATGGACTCACAAAAGGTTACATCCGCGCTAATAAAGTACCGTTGAGAAACAGGACTATAGCAGCGATAACCTTTATGAGATCGAGAGTAGCCAAGAAAGACACATTTTGTGGCACATGGGTCTAGTTTATCAAAACCAGGATCAAGATTGTGGACATAACATACACAGTCAAAAACTCTAAGAGAAAGAGAAAACAAGGGAGAATCAGGAAATAAGATGGAATATGGAGATTTACCATCTAATACAGATGACGACATACGGTTAATAAGATGACAGGCAGTAAGAACAGCATCACCCCAAAACCGTTTAGGCATACGCATATGAAACAAAAGAGCACGGGTTACTTCTAAGAGGTGTCGATTCTTACGTTCTCCAACTCCATTTTGTTGAGGAGTATAAACACATGAATTTTGATGAATAATTCCTTTATCACTAAGATATGTATCAAAGGGGTTTGAGAAATATTCCTTAGCATTATCAGAACATAGAATACGAATTGGGCATCCAAACTGAGTTTTTACTTCTTTTCGAAATTTTTGAAAAATTAAAAATAACTCAGAACGATCTTTCAATAGAAACAACCAAGTCAGGCGAGAATACTCATCCACAAATGTCACAAAATAATGAAATTTATTGATTGAAGAATGCTTTATTAACCAAATGAAAAGGACTAGAGACACGATTATTAACCCTAGACTTGAAAGACACGTGATGATGCTTACTAAGTTGACAAACTTCACATGACAAGAATTTCAAATGACTAAGACTAGGAACTTGTTGAAGTGACGGGTGACCAAGACGACAATGCCACTGGAATGGAGACAGAGAAGACTGAAGAGCCATAGGATAAGGTTCCAAATCAAAACAATATAAGCCACCAGCTTCATGCCCCGTACCAATCTTCTTCTTCGTCTTGAGATCCTGAAACACACAAGAAGTAGGATCAAATGTAACAGAGCACTGGAGAGATTTAGTAAGCTTACTGATAGACATTAAATTAAAGGGAAACTGCGAAACATATAAAACAGATGAGAGAGACAAAGAATCACTAAGTTGAGTTGTCCCCAAACCTGAAACCTAAGTGGATGAACCATTAGCAAGAGTAACACTTTGAGAAAAAGGTACAGAATTAAAATCAGATAGACGAGAAGAACATCCAGTCATATGATCGGATGCTCCAGTGTCTATGATCCAAGGACTGCGAGTGGAAGACAATAGACACGTGTGCGCATTACCTGGGCAAAGGTAGCCGTGGAAGATGAATTAGATGCTTGCTTATAAGACAAAAACTGATTATACTCATCCCGTGGAACAGGGACTGTTTCTGATTCAGATACGTTGTGAGATCGAGAAGCAACATCATTCGGAGAGGAGGAAACTTGATTGGCATAACCAAATGGTTTGCCATGAAGGTCCCAACAAAAGTTCACAGTATGATTAGAAAGGCCACAATGAGTACATTTTCGTGATTCCCTGCCACGGCCACGTCCTCCCCGTGAATCACGACCACCACGTGTGGAGCGTCCCCCACGACCTCCACGGTAAGCATTATGTTCACCCTTTGAAACTACCAAAGCTGAACTCTCACCACTTTACCCAGAATTCAAATTTGAGGTGTCACTGGCAAGTGTAGCGCGTTGAAGTCGAGAGAACACCTCAGCAAGAGAGGGAAGGGTGGGACTACCCATAATTTGTGCACGAAAAGCCTCATATGTTGATGACAGACCGGTGAGAAAACGGACAACATTAAATTCCTCACGCTGTTGTTGCATACTTCGAACATCAACAGTAATGGGCTGATACATATTCAGCTCCTCACAGACTCCCATAACTGTGGAATAATACGCCTCTATACTATGATTACCTTGTTCAAAATGGAAGTACTGCTTACAGAGCTCATAAACACGAGTGATATTACCTGTCCCAAAATACAATTGCTACAATCTGTTCCATATCTCCTTGGCAGTATCCAAGTAAAGTAAAGTTGAACTGACTTGGGGTTCAATACTGTTTAACAGCAGAGAGATGATCTGAGCATCTTCCTTTTCCCATGCATCAAAAGAAGTATCAATTTCCTTGGGTTTATCTTTAGTCAGATGATTGCCAAGACCTCTGCTTTTGAGAAAAATTGCAACAGATTTAGCCCACAGTATGTAGTTATTCCCATTGAGTTTAACTGAAGTCATGGGAGAATGAAGACTTAATGTGGGAGAAAGCAAATCTGAACTGGACGCCATATTGAATCCAGGAAAACAGAGAAGAAGAGGGAAAAAAAAATGCAAAATTTGTATTCTGGCCGAACCTAGGAACGAGCCGGATCCAGGTAAACGGGCCGGATATGAACAAACTGGCCGGATCTGACCAAACGGTTCGGATCTTGAACAAACGGGCCGGATCCTGGGCAACAGGCCGGGTCTGGGCTATCCCTGGTTTAGTAAACCGGAATTGGAATAGCTATCCTAGGTTTAGTAAACCAGGGTTGGAATAGCATAACCGTGTAGCCAAACACGGGTCTTCTTCTTCACACCTTCACAAACACCGGTGTACAACGCGGCGGAGGCGATGGCAACCCAATCACAAGCAGCAGCTGCAACTTCCGCCCAAAAAACCAACCTCACCTCTGCAAATCGAGACGGCAGATGTCGGCGAGCTCGCTAACAACCAAAGAGGAGCTGCCGGCAACAACGAAGAAAGCAAAGACGATGACGAACAAGCTTCAGATCTGATGACAACGAACGAGGATGCAGATCCGACTACGGTGAACAAGGAATTGCCGACAACG